AAGTCTGTCCTGTATTGACCCTCAGCACCCGCCACTGAGCGTAACACTTACGAGCACCCGCGAGTCTGCGATATCATCGCCTGCGTCGCCAGGGTCTTCTGCTACTCTTTACCCCCGATGGAATCTTGCCAAGGCAGACTTCCACTCCTTATACACCGCATTACAGCGGACCGATTGGAGCACTCTGTATAGTGCGGGCAGCGTCAGCGAGGCGTATGCTATTTTATATAATTTATTTTATAAAGCAATGAATAGTAGTGCACCCAGAAAGATGACTAGGGTCGATCGCTCTCGTTATCGCTATCCGGATTGGTATACGGCTGAACTTATAGACGAAATAAAACAAAAGGCCTTCTGGCACAAAAAGTTTAAGAAAGGTGGGTCGCCATATTTTTATGCAATGTTTTCTCATTATCGTTCTTTGGTCAAAAGCACTATTTCTGTAACTTACGACAATTATCGGAATCGTGTGGAGTCACAATTTGCTAAGGAACCTAAGTCATTTTGGAGTTTTATTGGAGAGAAGCGCTCAAGGCGTAGCAAAACATGTATTATCAGGAACGGCATATCTTTGTCAGGGTACGAGTGTGCTCAAGAGTTCGCGAACTATTTTAGTTCCGTTTACGGGGAGGAAGAGCCAAGACTGGACCCATCCGCGGCGGTGCTTTCGGCACCGGAACGTGGTGCGCGCGTGCACGTGGGTCAGCTATCCCCTAGAGAAGTGCGAGCTGCCCTTCTTCGTCTTGAGCCGAAGCGGTCGGTAGGTCCGGATGGGATCCCTCCATTTATTGTAAAAGACTGCCGGCAATTGCTAGCTCGCCCACTGGGACACTTATTTAATCTTTGTTTAAAAGAAAATGTTTACCCTGATGGATGGAAATTGACGAGGGTGACTCCGGTTCCCAAAGGGGCTCCTAGTTCGGATGTGAGTGGATACCGGCCTGTTGCAGTATTGTCTACGTTTGCAAAGGTTTTTGAGTCCGCGTTATCTGCAAGTATAACTTCACAAGTGAGTGCACATTTCTGTGATGAGCAGCATGGATTTCGTGCGGGTCGTGGTACTAGCTCTAACCTCATGTGTTTTATGAATTATGCTACACAAGCCCTCGACTCGGAGGCTGGTGCCCAACTGGATATTGCCTATTTTGACTTCAAAAAGGCCTTTGACAGCGTTAATAATGACATACTGTTAACCAAATTTGCGATGGCAGGGTTCACGCCAGATTTACTCCAGTTTTTTGCGAGTTATCTCGGGAACCGAAGGCAATACGTCGACTACTGTGGACATGTATCAGACCAATATCGCACGCTATCTGGTGTAAGCCAGGGTAGCAACCTTGGGCCATTAGAATTTATTCTAATGATTAATGATCTACCAGAGGTGGTCCAGAATGCGTGTTGTTTGCTCTTTGCTGATGACTTAAAGCTTTTTCTACGTGTGGTCGATAAAGAGGATTGTAAGCGCCTACAAAATGACATTGATCTGGTAATTGATTGGAGTCGGAAAAACAAACTCTTCTTCAATGTCAACAAGTGCAATATAATGTCTTGCACGCGTGCCATGTCTCCGGTGCATCATCGATACCACATGGAAGACAGTGTCATGCCTCGTGTTGAATCGGTCCGGGATTTGGGAGTGCTTATGACCAAAGATTTGTCATTCAGGGAGCATATCGCGAAGGTTTGCTCTAAAGCTTACAGAAGTTTGGGTTTTGTAATGAGAGAGACAAAGGATTTTAAAAGTATAGCAACAATAAAAATATTATACAATGCTTTGGTTAGGAGTCAATTAGAGACGAGTGCTATAATCTGGAACCCCCATGAGATGAAATACAGCCTCATGGTGGAGAAGATGCAAAACAAGTTTACTCGGTACCTGTACCTAAAACAATATGGAGTGTACCCGTATTACCCACTCATGTATCCTTCTCTGTTTGTTATTGGCATGGTGGGATACTATAAGCTGGAGGTCAGGCGAGAGGTTGCACTCGCAAAGTACGTGTTTGAGGTTTTCCGGGGTAAGCAGAACAATCCATCCATACTGGCTTCGTTGAGGTTGCTCGTCCCAAATACAAAGCTAAGGCTGAGCCCGAGGCAGAGACTATTTGAGGTCCCAACCAGTCGCACTAACATAGGTCGATATGCTCCTGTGGCTAGAGCTATTAAAATAATTAACAGAGTTGGACAAAAGGTTGATATTTTCTGTTGCTCATTGGCGGAGTTCATAAAGGTAACGACTGATGTTGTTAGTTGTACATATGTAGTTAATGGATAAGTACATAGTTGTTATAAGTTTTTATATTAAGTTTTTATTTAAGTTTTTTTTTATTAATACTAATTATAAGTTTTTACATTAAGTGACAACATTATCGCATTGGGTGTAACCTGTTAGGATGTGTTGAATTAAATAAAAATAAATAAATAAAAATTTTCCTAAGAATGCAATTCAGATCAGCATTTGCTTCAATATAAATTTTCAGCAGAATCGTAAGCAAGTTACTTCTTCTAACTCAATTTCGATTTTTAAGCGTTTACATAATAATATTTCTTCCTAAGAATGCAATTCAGACCAGCATTCGCTTCAATTAACTTTTAGGACAAAAAGTATATCGACGTCTTTAAAAAATCGTATAACTTTGAGAAATCATTGAAAACTACCATTTTTCATGTGGCTATGATATCCAAACTAAGCATAACTGCATGATGCATATTTGAACTAAGTATAGGGATTAAGTTTTACTTAAATATATGTAAAACTTAATCCTTACTTAGTTCAAATACATAGATCGTATAACTTTCAATACATAACGTCGAATGCTCCACTGAATCTCGCTCGCACAATTAATCCAATTCTAAGCCCACCTTGTCCAACATCTCAGAGTTGTAAATGAAACCCAATCGATTGAAATTATCATCAAATTGACATTGATTTAAATGAGATCTGATTTCGTTTTGATCTCTAGTATTGGAGAGTTCACTGAACCGTGAGAGCTGTATAAGTGTGCTTTTACTTTGAGATAGAATATTTTGTACTTTTATAGTATTTACATATTTTATATACTTATTGGAATGTAGAACAGTGACATCTGTTATATACTGAAATGATATACTGAGTTTCTTCTGAGATCCGTTTGCCTCTAATTCAGAATTTTTATTATTTCCTGTAACCCTGCCATGAAACTTCAGACACAATTCTGGACTTTGTCATTAAGTTGTTAAAAACTTAATAGTGCTTTTTAGAATCGAACATGAGATCATTTTGCTTAGCAGTAACATACAACCTCTCGTTCAATGATCGGTATGTTACATGCACCTATATAATTCTGTATATAAACAGGCTAGGTACGAAACTTCGTCGGTACGGATTTCGTGTTGTTTCCTAAAATTACGAAAGTACTTATATTCGTGTTACAAGTTTGGTTACATACTTAGGTTTCAAACTGAGAGGGAACTGAATTTAGACTCAGTAACGCTTGAATATCTCAATATTCTCTCAATAGCAAAGTCATAACTTTGCTTTCCTAGAAGTTAGTCTATTATAATTTTGAGACCGAAACATAAACAGCATCTAGCATAAACGGTACAATTATTTTCCTCTACGTACCATGACTACGATCGGATAAGAATCGATTAGAAATTCGATAAATTATTATAGAGGATTTTTATTTTACTTTTTCCTCAAAAAATATTCTTAGAACACATACAACGTAGAGTACAAACAAACATCAAATACATCATACCTATGCTACTTGTGTTAAAAGACACGCTCTAATGAGCATTTCTATATATAGATCCAATTTGCAAAAGGCGTCTGATAACTGAAAGCTCGTATGTTCTATATTAAAGTACAAAAGAAAATATGTATATCCGAGTTTCCCGTTTTCTATATCCGACGAAACTATTCACATTCACATAACGAGCTTATATAAACAAAATAAAGCGTAGCAATGTGAGATATGACACAATACGAAAAGGGTTGAGGCCTATAATAATAATAGATTCCGGCGTAGCGACGCGCTACGGCGTAGCGTTCGTAGCGTCGTAGAATAAACAAGTGCTACGAGAATTTGTAGGCTTAAGTAAAGAGCCTTTGTAGGTGCGCGAAGGTTTATTTAATAAAACTGTATTTCGTTCCGTTCCCTTTGACAATGTAATTTATATGGAAAAAAGTGAAATTGTTACATTGTTAAAATACTTTTAAAGATTTTTGGCACGAGGGAGTTCCTTAGAGAATCGAAAGTAAAAAGTAAAGTATCACTTAGCCGTAATGGCCGTCTTAATGTAATATACTTATTTGCAATTTATGAAAGGAACGAAAAATTTTTATCGTCTTTTCCTGGTTTAACAACGAAATATTAATTTGAATTTTTGACATCGGTTTTTAATGTTCGCCTAATATTATGGGGCAATATAAATCTATTCATAATAACGAAATTCATTCACAATTAATGTTTTCAGGTTAACAACACAAAAATAATAAATAACGCTAAATCGTAGAAACTTCAAAGCTAACCTCATTCAATATATGTTTTCTTAATAATATCGAAAAATATCAAAATGTATGATAAAGCAAGTTTTATAAAACGCAAGATAAAATAAAATTATGATCGAAATATGTACGTGTGATTGATCATATCGTATTTCTACAGCAAAAAGAAAGTACTTCAAAAGCTTTTTATCTTCAGAACGTAATTTAACTGTAATCTCACAATAAACATTTTTATTTACCAAATAGACAGCGTTATCACATGATCTGACAGATAGAAAGCTTTATTATTACTGAGAAAAGCAATGATTATGAGAAATGATCGTACTTCATCAAGTTTATACAACAGGTAGACGATAAAACATGAATGGAATGATCAAGTTATAAAAGATATTTACATCACAAAAGCCAACTGAAAAGAACAATACAGAGCAAATGAATCAAAACGAAGGGAACCGAGTAATCGTCTTCGACGTGAACGCGACGAAAGACAATTTTCAGTCACGTTATCTACCTGAAATTGGCACTGAAAACGTTGCACTCACCGTGTTTGCAACGGTTTCATTATACACTCAGATCCTTGTTCCACACAAAGTTTAATTAGAGACACAGTCTATGCCCGTGTAATGACGTACGGTGCTGTCAAAACGGAGTTTTCATCAAATTTTCATTAATACCCGGTGAAAACACGCCTGTATCGTGTCGGCGGGAGACCGGCTCACAGACCACACGTCCGCACTCCGCGAGCTCGCGGACAAAACTAGGAGCTCAAGCCGAGTGTTCCAAGCCCGAATCGAGCCGGAGGGAGACGGAACCATTTGCGGGAAAGAGATGCAGAAGCATGCAGAGGTGCGCAGGAAAGAATTAGATGTTTATTTGGGCTACTGGTAATGGGATAACAGAAGCTCGTGCGTGCTTTTCTAGTTTGAAGTGTGAAGTCTCTTTGGTTAACTTACCTGCGATACACCAAAGCTGTTATCTCGTTCCGTGTGATACTACGCTCAATGAATAAACGTTCGATTGAATTTAGTTTGCATTCAATAAAATATGCAAGCTTCACTAAAAACGTTCAGTTATAAAACTAAATTTCGTGCGATAGTGTTAGCATTTATGATCTAAAAAATTCAGAGTATTTTTATGAGATCAAAAATGTATGTTCTTTATAACTGCGAACGTAAACATTTTAAAATTGCAATTAACAATTTGGATACTATGAAATTCGATGTTCATTGCTTATTATAAAATCCAATAGCTAAACCGCAAATGATTTAAATACAGTTGCGATTCAATTTATTCGCACAAAAAGGTGACAATGTTGCCGAATTTAATAAAGTCCCGAACTAAGTCAACAGATTCAATAAAAGAAAATCGATTTTAATACAAAAGGTGTCTGTGGCGCTCTGGAGTCCTAAAATTGAAATATTTTGCTGTTGCTTTGATATTGTATTACACATTATTTACATGTATGATACCTACATTTTATATTTATTAACAGTCTTTAGCAGCTTATGTTGTTGGATAAGTATATCGACTCACTTTTGTTTTGTATTTTGTGTCAAAAGGCTTAACGTATATCAGAAAATTCGAGGAATTGGACCTGTTTCACAAGTAAATAATTATCTACAAAGTAAGTACTCAAGTGTTCGATTTTAATTAAGGAAATATAAAATTATAATGTCTTCATTCCCCAAAATTTTATTGTAGTGGATCTCACAAATAATTGACAGAAGGAAGGCAAGAATCGACATTTGTTTAATATCTATCCACTTACGTTAACACGTTCATTTTCAAACTCCAATGTAGATTATAATGTGTAGAGAAATAAAAGGACTTAACGACTTTTCTACAGCAATAACCGGCACCCACCCACAATATCCTAAAAATAGCATAAGTACCTAGCCACGTCTTAAAGTAGAAGTAAAAATATAAATAGAAAATCTCAAACTCATGCTTTTATAACTTTATTCATGTTGACAGATTAAATAAATGTTTAGTGTCTTCATTTGGCGGTTTGTTGTTTATATAAATTCATTATTTTGGTTGACATATTGACTGACGGCATGGTTGGTGCGACGGCTGGGTAACAGACTGCCGCGCAACGTGTCGTGGATTCGACTCCCACAAGGAGCAACTCATTGTGTGATCCACATATTGTTGTTCCGTGCCTAGGTGTCATATGTATGTGAAATTGTTTGTTTGTAAACGCATCCACAGGACACAGGGGAAAATCCTAGTGTGGGGCAACGTTTTACTACCTCTATTATTATTTTTTAAATTACTTATTTGTTTTTGGTTATCACATACTGACTCCTGTTACGATAATGCTTGCATTTATTAACATTGATAAATATTAAGTAATTATTCGTCTTAGTACTATTTCAGTTCGGTGGTGTACACTATTAGAAAGGCTATATAAATATATGTATATTATTATAATAACGAACAGAAACAGACTGAAAAAGATGATAACATACCATAAATTATTGTTATACTATTGTTGCTATGTAGATATTAAAATATTAATCACAAAAAGACAAAATAAATATTAAGAAAAGTCCTTTGCGATTAGATTATAAGGGTGTCACGTTTAAATAATGTTCTAATAACTTCTAAAGCAATAACACTAAACTAATTTGAAGATGTTAAAATGAAAACATAAATAAATAGCCTGTCTTAAATCTCAGCTGCTTAGAAAACATAATTGGAACTTGCGAGTAGCTAAGACATCTGTCACAAAATGGTTTAATTGATGTTTAACTAGAGATTTGTATTATAAACCTGATTAAAAAAGTAACCTATTGAGTTTCTTGCTCGTTGTTCTCTATAAGAATCTTGGCCACCTATAATTTTTTCGTTGACGTACAAAAGCGCCTTCCTTGTCTAATTGAAGTGAATGATTTTGACTTTCATTTTAAAAATGATAATTTAGCAAAACATTTATATTCTTAGGGCAAGAAGACGAATACATTATTTATTTTTTTACTTACAACAACTTGATAGGTAATAATTCCTTTATAAACTAGGTTTAAAAAAAATGTTTTTTTACAACGTAGTTTCGAAAAGAATTAAGCCCCTCTTTCTTTGAAATAGATTTATTAATATACCTTCTTATAAGTGTAAAAACACTTTTCTGAACACCGCATCAAAATCGGATCAGCCAATCGCGAGGTTATCGAGGACATAGATACACTCCTTCTTTTTTTTTATGGTCGCTTAATAAACAAGTACGATTAACAATTTAAATCGATACAACAAGAAAACGAGGATCCCTAGATCCGAGATTAAAGAACTGTGTCTATTCCACATGAAATATTAACATTCAAATGAAAGTCTAGGATATCGTCTGTTCGAAGAAAATATCAAAAGAAAATCTCTAGCATCTGACCTTTTCACCTCTAAATCAATAACAATTCAGACTAATAAACAAACAGAACTATTCAGAAATTCTATTTGAAAAGTTCTGATTGTAAATTAGGCATTTTTATTTATTTAGTTTCGGTTGAATCCAATAAACTGTGAATGATTTGCATTAATTGTCTAGTTCTAGGCATTGAATTTTATGATCGAAATAATATTGTTATTGACATTGTGAACGTGAATCATTGTTTTGCAAATATTCGTGTACTGTCTTCGTTTTATTACTTGGAGCGTCTACGTAATTTGTTATGTGCTTAATAATTGTGATTCAATATAATATTGGAGTTCTGTAAACAAATCTACCTGTATAATTCTTACGCACAAATAAAATATTATTTATAGTTCGGTTTTCTGCTATGACGAGTACATAGCATGACGTCATATGGGCAGGATTAATTATATATTTAACAAGAAGTTTAATCTGTTATAGTGGTTGAATGGCACGATATAGTCGCTTAGTAACAAAATTCGTGTTTGAAGTAAAAGTGTTAAATTCACCCAATTCACAAAAAAAATTGATAATAAAAAAGTTTTTTTTATGGCATAAGCCGGTAAACGAGCAGACGGACCACCTGATGGTAAGCAATCGGCGTCGCCCATGGACACCTGAAACACCAGAAGTGTTGCAAGGAGGATTGTTGGGGATTCAGGGATTGGGGAGATTGGGGAAGGAGGGGGGGATTGGGTCTCCAATAACCTCACTCACACGACAAAACACAACGCAAGCGTTGCTTCACGTCGGCTTTCTGTGAGGCCGTGGTATCACTCCGATCGAACCGACGCTTTCGTGCCGAAGCATGGCTCTCCTACACTTAAAAAGTAAATAGGTACTTGTAATAATTTTCACATACATATGTCTTAGTTACTAACATGTACAATGTACATACGTGCGTATATCTTGTATTAGCCTAGATTTTGAAGTAGCAACCACGCAAAAGGTACAGAAGACAAAATTGTATTAAATGGGCCCGTCTCCTTTGATTGGCTCACTTAATTTAGGAAAGAAGATTAATTAATGAAAGAATGTAAGTAGATCTTTTGAGATACGGACCGTCAATTTCGACTTTTTCCTTATCTAAAACTATAGGAGCTTTATTGTATTCGCTTTCTTTGTGTTAAAGCAATTAATTTTCTTTTTATTCAACAATGTAGTGTAGATTGGAATTAATTGTCGTCCTGTTTCGATATTGTTTTGCTGGTCAAGTTACAAGTTGTTGAATGAGGACATTACATATATAACATCACGCCTTTTATCTCCGTAGGGGTAGGCAGAGGTGCAGTTTATGGCACTTAATGCCGCTGTGCAATGTACATAACTCCCACTTTTCACTATTTATGTTATGAGTCCCATGTAATAGGGGGTGACCTATTGCCATATACCGGACACAATCCGTGCTACTATTGATATTTATTTAAAACTCAGTTATACTTGCTACATACAACGCGACAGTTGCATGTGGAATGTTTAAATAAAATATTATGTATACGATATGTACGAATCTTCGTCATTTCCAAAATGTCATTAACTCGTCGAGCACCGTATTTATAGACACAATTAAAGAACAATAGGTTGCGGTCACCGGTGACCGCTCGGTGTTTGACAGTTTAATCCACTTTGTTTATTGGAAGTATAATTTGACGTTCACAAATAACTTTCTAATCACGATCTTAAATTACCTCCATCAACCAGACGTACTTAATTCATTACTTTTATTACACTTTTATAGCCATGTAAGTATACATTACAACACATAAAACAATAATCCTTTAACCAATTCTAACTAGCATCAACAAAGTGGTTGATCTTAATAAATATTGATGGGTGGAGCGTCAAGAAAAGGCATCGCTCGTTAAACGACCCTACAGCTGCATAAATATCTCATGATCTGCGATAGAACGGTCAGTTATCTCCGCTGAGTGGCGGAATATCTTACAGGAGAGGGATAGTTTACCGATCGATAGGGGTTAAGTTTGTATAGTTTAACGTTGGATAGAAGAAAACTATGATAATGTGGTGATATTAAAGAGTTTTGTAGGTCGAATGTTCGAAAACGACTAGTCATAAGGTGCATCAGATTAGTGATAAGGATTAAATTTTAACACGGAATACTGAAAGGTCATTTTATGAAGAATTTATAGTCTAGAACTTTACTTAAGCGCGACTTCAAATTAAGCAGCGTTTGAGTATTTGTTTGTAGGCAGAAAGGCAGAGTAGATAAACTTTTCACTCGTTATGTTATAAGTCTCGTTATTATTTAAAAAAGTATTTAATTTGAACTTTGGTGTAAAAAAATTTCAGCCGCGCTTCAAGTGAATGCTCGATCAATA